TAATATTTCTAAATTTTTCACAACTTTCAAAAAGTGTTTTTCATCCAAATTTTTCAGGAAAACACTTTTCTAAAAATCAAACCAAATTTTCCTTTGATTGGAAAGTGTTTTCCATTGACTAACTTTTCTAACAGCAAAAAAACACAAAAAAGTTTGGAAAGTAATTTTCCAGAAACCACTTTCCGAAAAACAAACAAAGCTAAAAAGAAAAATATTTTCCTGAAAATAAAGTCAAATTTTTTTTTGATTGAAAAATATTTTCCGTTAACTGAAAAGTGTTTTTTGTTAATCAACTTTTCTAATAACAAACAAGCACATGAAAGCTTAAAAAATGGTTTTTCAAAAATTATTTTGCGGGAAACAAATATGGCCTTAGTTATTGTCTTGTGATAGAGAGGGTTTAATATTTTTTTTTAAAAAAAAATATAAATTTATTTATTTTTATGTTTTTATTTATCCTTTTCTATATATATATATATATATATATGTTTTTATTATCTCGAAGGACAAGCTTAATATTATGAATAAATGGAGATAAGATTTTTCAAAACATATTCTGGATTCAAATCCAAAATAATAAAATATGGAGCAAACTCTTTTAGAATTTATCTAATTTTGGTAAGAATTTCATTCATTTTACTGTAAATTTCACATATTTTCACTGTATAACTTGCTAATAACAATGGATAAATCCAAATGCTGTTTATCTATGTGTTTTAAATTTTTTTAAAAATAATTTTTTAATTTTTAATTTAAATTAATGTTTTTTTACTATTTTTAAATCATTTTTATTTTAATATATTGTTATTAAAAATAATTTTTAAAAATAAAAAAATAATTTTAATATATTTTTAAATAATTTTTTTAAAAAAAATAATCATTAATATATTTTCAAACAGGCTCTCGGAATGAAAAGTTTTGTCTGTAGCATGTAAGTGTCCCATGTCGCTATTTAAACACCCCCAATAAATATATATTAGACAATTGTTTTGCAGTCAGTTCTTGCATTTTGCATCCCATGATTCAGTAAACAGCACCTTGACTGCAAAACAGGAATTTAAACTCGAAACTGCAACGTAAGAAGATCACTGTATGGTCAAGACTCAAGTTCAAAACTCAATCCCTTATGACAAGAAGCAAGGCCTGGGATACATTCGCTCTTTTCTGATAGCTGTTATAGAACTTGATGCTCTGGCCGCGCTACACTGTCGATTAATTGTTTTTATATAAAAAAATTAAAATTTAAAATTTTTAGATTTTTTTTTGTAAAATTATATCCAAGAATCTTGGATGTGATTGTAATGTTTCACCTAAAAATAATATTTATAATATTAATAATAATAGTATTAAACTTGCATAACTAAAATTTAAGTAAATTTGACTGCAACACCAAGCCCAAAAATCTGAAAATGTAATAACAAAATAGAAAAATAATTTAATATTACATAATAAAATTAAACAAAAAAATTTAATTAAAAAAAAAATAAAGCAAAGCACTATTCCAATGAACAGTGCTTTGCGAGGAGGGGCAAAACAAAATCTCCTCACGAGATTATAATAATATGATGAAAAGTAAATAAAACAAATTATAAATTTTAATTCTTAATCAAATCGATATTGAAAGTTGAAATTAGAAGAAAAAACTATTTAAGAAAAAAATAAATTAACTGGTTTAACCCACCAAACCAGCTTAACTCGTCAAAGTTAGGATCTATGTTATGAGCGTGTGATAACTAAATAGAAAAAATTAAAAAATATTAATTAAAAAACATAAAAAACAACAACAAAAAAAACCTATAACTAAAAGATATCTACCTTTCACCGTGAATTTGCACAATGCAATCTACAATGAAAGGTATTTCTTTTAGTTATAGTTATAATGTTAAAAGATGAAATTATAAAAAAAATAACTAATAAAGAAAAAAAAATCTAAACCAACTGGATTAATCCATCAAATCAGGTTAACCTATCAAACTTGAGATTCATGTTATGAGAGTGCGATAATGAAATATAAAAAACTTCAATATTAATAAACTAAATTTAACAAAAAAATTATGAAAAAAAAACACAAAAAAACAAACTTATAGGAAGAAAAAAATTAATGAAGAAAAAAAAAAGAATATAAATTAACTAGGTTAACCCGTCAAACCTAAGATTCGTATCATAAAAATCTGATAACTGAATAGAAAGAAATTTACCAACAAACTATGTAAAAAAAATAATTCAAAAAGGAAAAAACTTATAAGAAAAAGAAAAATAATGAAGAAAAAAATTGAATTAATTGGGTTAACTCATCAAACCAGAAATTCGTATAATGAAAATCTAATAATTAAATAGAAAAAAAATTTAACATTAAACACTAAATTAAAAAAATAATTAAAAAGAAAGAAAGAGAAGGCATCAGCCTTTTCGCCGTGAATTCCATTGTGTAGTTCACCATAAAAAGACATAAAAAGAAAAAAAAAATAAAGACATCAACTTTTTTAGTGTAAATTGCATACAATATTAAAAGAAAAAATTGAAAGAAAAAACTAATGAAGAAAAAGAAAAAAAATTGAATCAAGTGGGCTAACCCATCAAATCTGGGATCTGTGTCATGGAAGTCTAATAATTAAATAGAAAAAAATTAATATTAAAAAACTAAAGTAAAAAAATTAATTAAAAACAAAGAAACAAAGAAAAAAGCAAAAACAAAAAAAAAGAAACTAAAGGCATCAACTTTTTTATTATGGACTGCGCTGTGCAATCCACAGTAAAAAACTTAAAAAGGAGAAAACATAAAAATAAATAAAAGCATACACCACGGGTTAATTTTCTTTTCTTGCATAAAAAAATAAAAAAAAAAGTTAAGATCTAAGAGTGTTAGATCTTTCTGCAAAGATATATCCAAAAGTCTTAGATATAGCTGCAATATTTGATCCAAAAGTAATATTTATAATATTAATAATAATATTAAACTTACATTACTCAAGTTTAAGTGAGTTTGACTGCAACATCAGACCCAAGAACCCTAGATATGGATCTGGTTGCAAGGTCACGTCATAAAAGTGTGATAATTAAATAAATTAATTAAAAAAAAATAAAGACAAAATCTACATTAAAAAAAACTAATGAAGAAAAAAAAATGAGTTAACTTGGTTAATCCTTCAAATCTGGGATTTATGTCATGAAAGTTTGATAACTAAATATAAAAAAAAATTGACAGGTTAACCCAGAATTAACTAGGTTAGCCTGTCAAACCCGGGATACATTTCATGAAAGTCTGATAATTAAATAGAAAGAAATTCAACGTTAACAAACTAAACTAAACAAAAAAATAATTAAAATGAAAAAAAGCAAAAAAAATAATTCCGGTTTAACTCGTCAAACCAGGTTAACCTATTGAATCCAAGATCTGTGTTATGAAATCTAATAATTAAATAAAAAATTTAATATAAAAAAATTAATTAAAAGAAAAAAGAAAAAAATTGAAAGGCATAAAAAAAATAGTTTCAAAAATTAAAATATTAGTATCAAGGATCTAAAAAGGCGTGGGGAAAAAACTACAGTGTTTTCCCCATGCATTTTAGACCATTGACAAGATGACATGCCTGTGTGCTGTCGCGGGCTTATAAAACATATGTATTTGATAGTATTATAATTGTGAATCAGTGTTAGATAAATAATAGAAACTAAAGGTATGATAAAGCAAATATTTTATGATGGAAAAAAAAGATTGTGTTGTTGATCAAAAACTTAAAGACTAAACAAAATGATTTGTAGCAATTCACAGTGTTTTATGAGGAAAGATACAGTGCTTTCGCCAGATGATTTATTTTTTTGTTAATAAAAAATAAAAAAATTACAAAACTAAATTCTTTACCAACTTAATTTTAAAAAAAAAACCAACAAAGATAATTTTGGAAGGAAAAAAACCCATAAGAAAAAAACATTGTAGCAATTGACAATGTTTTATGAGGAAAAAATTTCCCAATAAAATAAAATAAAAAAATTATTTAGATAAATACTGTAGCAATCCACAATGTTTTTGTGAGAAAAACTATGACGCTTTTCTCATATGATTTAGCTTTATTGTAATTATAATTTTTAACCAACTCAATATTAAAAAAAAATCGAGAAAGAAAATTTTGAAAAAAATCATAAAAAAATCATATGGAAAAACACTACAACAATCCACAATATTTTGTAAGAAAAGCTACAGTGTTTTCCCCACATGATTAAACTTTATTACAAATTTAAATTATAACCAATTCAATATTTAAAAAAATAAAATCGATGAATATAATTTAATTTTTTTTTACAAAAAATAAAAACACAAAATAAACTATAAAAAAATCATGTGAGAAAAAACTGAATTAATCCATAGTGTTTTGTGAGGAAAAACTTGTATTTACTTGTAATTGCAATTCTTAACCAGCTTAATATTTAAAAAATAAAATTGACAAAGATAATTTAAAAAAAACATAACAAAATAGAAAAAATTATTTGAGAAAAAATACTGTAGCAATCCACAATAATTTACGAGGAAAATTACAGTATTTTTATCATATATTATAACTGTAATTTTTAACCAACTTAATATTAAAAAATAAAATAAAAACATAATTTCAGAGGAAATTAAAAAACAAAAAAATCACATGGAGAAACACGGTAGCAATCAACAATATTTTAAAGAAAAAATTACAAAATTAAAATATTTTATAAAAATAAAATCGATAAATATAATTTTAAAAAATAAAAAAAATAAAAAAATTATTTGAGAAAACACCTAGAAATCTATAGTATTTTAAAGAAAAAAATTACAAAATAAAATTTTTAACCAGCTCAATATTTAAAAAGTAAAATCAACAAAAAAATTTTGAAAAAAAAAAAAGAAAAACAAAAGAAAGTTGAAGAAAAAAGTGATTTTGAAAAAGAAAAAAAAACACGGTAAATTACTACTATAATTCATCATAATTTTGATGTGGGGAATAATGATTTCCCCGCACCATTAGAGTTTTCAGCATCTCACATCTCATAGCTGATACATGTAAAAGCAGACCAAATAAGGCTTTCTTTCCATTAAACAAGTGTTAATCCTTGCAGATGGCGAGTCTTTTTGGAATTTTATTGCTGCACGTATATAAACTTGATTAAACTGAACTAAAATGAGAAGCCGGTATTCCGCGGTTGAAATTCTAACATCTTCATGGTAGATTAATGGATGCTGCAAGTCGCAGGCTTTTCAGCCTCAAGTTTTTAGGGTAGCCTTTTGTTTGTTCTCTGTTGTTGCTCCAGCAGTAGCTTCAGCTGCCTCCCATTTTCCTCAATTTGCAGCTGTAGATTTCGCTGAATCTGTTCCAAATGGGTAAAATACATGAAATGGGAATCCTCTCAACCGAAAAAGAGCTTGATCACTTTTCCGTAGGCATATGAAGCATTACTTCTGTCCAGTTTTAAGCTCATAACAACTGGTTTGCTAGGTATTTCAAGATTTCAAGGTATAAGGCATACCTCTAACTGTTCGTGAAGATGCTTCTCAATATCTAGCTGCAGTTGCAGTGCCTCCTGGATTCCCATGCTAATTCTAGAAGAGAAGACAAGTTGAGGCATGTCGTTGATTGTAGGTTTTTCTGCAGAAAACCACTATTGATGTGAACATTACAAGTAGCTTGCCTTCAAAAGTACTTCCACATGCAACAGAGATTTACCTTGTTTCCATTCTGACAAGTACTTGTCAGATCGATATTTCTGCAAAACAAATTCATGAAAAAGGATGATAAATAGAAATAAGCTTAGGTGGAACCAAAACACAACCTGATCTTGAGTACCTGCAAGTGACTTTTGACCTGAACGATGGTCAATCCTTTTGTTTCCATCATCTTCAGTATGGCCTTTGGTTTTGCTTCTATTATTATTTGATCAATCAATGGAGACAATCAATAAAAGGTAGTCCTTTAACAATTGAGCAAAGCTCATACCAATTTACTTACCTACAGCACCACCAAGGCTATTGACACAATTGACAAACTTCTCATGAAGATCTTGAGTCCATGTAATTCGTTTTCTACTCGAGAAAATTGGTCCAGAAGATCCCGAACCGCTGGAAGTAGAGGAACCATCCCCCAAATGTCTTGTAGATGATTCCAGCTGTTGAGACTTGAGAAGCTTATACCAGATTTGGATAGGAAGTTGAAATAAACACATTTGATATAAAAGAAAACCAGATATGATGTATGCACACGAGAATATCAGAATAAAGTTAAGTAAAGAACTTACTTCGGGATCATTCTGTCTATCAGGAGCAGGCTGAAGGGGCCTTCCAATCAACGTTGCATTGTCTCCAAGTAATTGGACTCGCTCAAGTGAAAGGGATGTACTTTCCCACAAATTAATGGAAGGAAGATGTTTTTGAGTCTTTTCACAATATTTATGGTGTTGGTTGCTAAATAAATAAGGTCTCAGAACTGTTTGCCAACTGGATTCATCGAAAATGTTACCCCTGGATGATTGATATGATGACATCTTTGCATCATTAGGCCCAGGAACCTGTGAGCTTGAAGGGAAAGTAGCAATTTCATAATCATCATCTTGCTGAAGATCCACCAAGCATTCACTTGTGCAAAAAGCCGGTGCTAGCTCATCGAACTGACTTGGAATGATGTTAGTTGATGTTGCAGTCTCTAGATCTTGCCTTTGAGATACTTCCCCCATGCTTGATGGTGACGAGCAAGGTCTCACATTCCAATTATGTTTTGTCTTATGATTGGAAGGTTCAGTAAGCATTCAAAGCTCTTTCAATTTTCATTTTCCTCGTACACTGCTGATAATACATGTGTACCAGCAGAGGATGTGATGAATATGCAGGCATCCTTTTATCTTTTTAGAAGAACAAAATATCACTTCCAAGTGGTAGGGTTTTGGTGAGTTTCCACCTAAATGACAACATCTGCTATAAATTTTAATGACACGCCTTTCTGACGGTAATTTTCCAATAAATTATCCAAAATAATCGCGCATTTAGTCAACTTCTTGGCAGTTTATAAACCAATTTGGTTAGGATTTGGACATTGTATATGTTAAATGTATTACCAAAGCAAGTAGTCCTTATTGTACATATTTAAGCAATGGAATGATAGTGCACAATTACAGTACAAGTTCTAGCCAACGATTAAATCATTGATAGGACATGAGAGCTAGCTCGCATGCATGTGCACACCAGGATGTCCTCCTGATTGGCAGCAATGCAAGAACTATGACTTCATTTTCTGTGTCTGACCAAAAAGATACGCTCCATCTTCCATATAGATTTTTTTTTTTTACTAATAAGCACTATTATGCAACTCGAACCAGCCAAATAGGTTAACTGGGACCTGGTCCGAGCCAGGTTTCATTGAAAATAGAGGAAAGTTGATCCGTTGTCACCCGATAAAAATTCTAAATTGACCCAGTTAAATCCTTAACCCGGTGTGGCGCTGGGTGACTTGCTAATAAAAAAGAGCTCACTCAATCTATAGTTTAGTATTTTTACCAAATGATCAGGAGTCAAAGGCACATTCAAAGATAATTTGTTCATGTACAACTTTCTGCAGGATCTGTGTTGTCCTTGTGTTGACCTCTCTAGCACAACTATCAAAAACATTGAAAAGAATGACGACACTCTTACAAGGTCTATGGGTAAGGATGGCAATGAAAAGAACGACGACATTCTTACAAGGTCTATGGCTAAGGATTCTACCCTGCTCAACTGCTTTATTTATATTGTTATTTTAGTGTGATTGTGATTTTTTTTTAAAATAATTTTTTATATTAAAATATATATTAATAATATTTTTTTTATTTTTAAAAATTATTTTTGATATGATTTAAAAACATTAAAAATATATTAATTTAAAGTTAATAAAATAATAATAAAAAATTAATTTTTTTTTAAAATATTTTTAAAATGCCGAAATAAACCCCTTCATATGATGGTCAGATAGGCCCACCATCGTAAGTGTAGGTTTTGAGACAGCATTATACATGTCGGCTGATATAGTGGATCTTATTGGTTTTGAAAGCTAGTCGCCAGAAAATGGCCAAATTGTTTTTTTTTCTAATTAGCCAAATGTTCTGCTGACAGCAGAATGAAATGGAAAAACTTGTACGCGTTATGATTTTTGGTTGACTTCTGATTGAGTGCAGCATACAGAGCTAACAGGATGGTTCATATCACCAGGCTAACAGAGAAGACATCAAAACTCTGGTACATTTTTATTAGGATGAACTTGAAGTACATAATAACGCAAGACTATTTTTCTAAAGCTGATGCTGAACTCGGAAGAATTTACAGTACAAGAACCACATTACTTTCTGTTCTGCAAAGAATCCCAACTTCCAAGTTCTTAAGAGTACTATGCTCTGAACACACATCGTATTCCTATGTTTTTACCCTTTCTGTGTAGGCACAATCAAACGCTTTCACTTTCTTTACAAAGGAGCAGAGATCATTTGCGATTCTGTTGTAGCTGGGGATTAGAAATCACTTTCGCTTGAAGCCATGAGTGCTTGCACATGAAAATGAGTCCTATGTGCTTTGAAGATCTAACTTATCTTGGATGGGAAATGGGTATTATTATTAGAGCCTTCTACAATAGAAACATCAATATCTTCGAGGCTAAATGTTGACTCGTCCGGAGAAGTAATGTTCAAGTTCTGATTATTCAAGAGACTATTAGTTTTTTTCTGTTGCTGATCAAACATCATCTTAAGCTGCTTGCCTTGTTCTTCAATGCGTAATTGTAGAATTTTTTGAATCTGCCATAAGAAAATGTAAGCGAAATTAGTAATTATTGATAGGTGAAACTGATCATCAGGGTCTTGAATGAACCGAACTACTCCTCTCAGGAGGTCATCAGGAAACAACCCAACCAGTACCTCCAGCTGCTCGTGCAGACGCCTCTGGACATCTAATTGCACTTCCAGTGCCTCCCTGATTTGAAACCCACTGCTAGACATGGTCAACAATTTGTCATAAGATCAAATGATAGTCTGAGATGATAGGCACACATCATTAAGAAGAAGAAACAGAAAAGAAGACAAGAAAGGCAATTTCAAGTTTCAGAAATTCATCTAGCTTGAACACTTGTTAGGATACGATTAGTATAATAACCAAGGAAGAAGGATTCATTATGAGATTACGTTTTGACATCGAACTGTGATGCATCAACTATGCTTGTTCTTTTCTCAGCCTTTCCTGCCATAGAATTGGTATTTGAATCAGAATTTTAACAACAGTGAAAGAAAGGATGCAAAAGTCCTTCAAAAGTTAAACATGCATACTGCATCATCAAGCAGAAAATTCAAGGACTATTTTGTTTTATAATAATTTCTGCTGTTGTGTTTTACAGGCAAGCTGGACTTCTAACAAATCGCAGACAAAAACACCAAAAAATAATACAGCAAATTATTGCATATCAGTAAACATCATCACAATTACTATGTACAGAGCAAATGAGTTGCTGAAAAGATAAATGTAAACCTAAGATTGCATCTTATGTCACGCTAAGAAACCATTCTGTTATTGAAAACTATTCTCAATTTGGTCCTCAACACCCGTTGACACAGGGGAAGTAAAAAAGATTGCTCATCATTTTACTTAATTTTAAGTACAGAGAAAATTAATATTGATATATTCCTTGCTGCAAGAACTTGACAGGAACTGAAAGCCTACAGAATTCTCTCCTCTCTTCAAGTGTTTGAAGGGTAGTGCTAATACTGCAGTGATGGTCTGAATTAAAACCTCAAAGGTTCCATGAAGTGCTCTCTGCATGCATTCGTATTCAAATTCAACAAATTATCACCTCATGGCATTATTTTGTTCTAATAGTAACTATGTGATCAATTTCAACTTTCAAGCACTTAAGGGAAGAGGGGATTGAACCGTTTATGATAAGAAATAATTACAAAGGTTTACCTTCTGAAGAGCCTGGCATGTATCTTGCACTTCTATATTTCTGCAAGAGCAAATAGAAACGAAATAGAAAAGAGATCTTAGAAGAATATCCCGTATGGATTACAATATATATATATATATATATACCGTATGGATTACAATATATATATATAATCCATACTATTTGGTTAAGCAATAATACCTGCAAATGACTTTTTACATGAAAGATAGTCAATCCATCCGAATCCATCAACTTTAGTATTGCTTTAGGTGTTGCCTCTGTAATTGATTAATCAATAGGTACTGATATGAACAATTTTTTCTTCTCAAATGGATAGAAAGCTCACACTGAAATCACTTACTCTCAGCACCTCCAAGGCGATTTACACACTCAACAAACTTTTTATGCAGATCTTGGGTCCATCTTATCCTTGTTTTACTTGACAGTGTAGTAGACAGGTCTTTGCCAGAAGATATAGGAAAACCTCCCAAAGAAAATCTTGGAGATCGCTTTTCTTCTCTAGAATTGAAGCGGCCCAGCTCTGAAAGTGGAGAATTATATGGATTATAATCAACCTGCACAGAGACAACATGACATGGTCAAAATGAATTTTCGTTAAGAGGCTAAAAGTAGTAAAACTAAATTACCAACCTGGAGAATACTTACTTGACGATTTTGATTTCCTTGGAAAGGAACTAAAAAGTGGTTCCCTAGGGAGACACCAGGATTATCCAGAAACTTATTGTGGTGTTCTGAAGGAAGCTTGTTTCCTGAAGAACTGCTTAGACCTTTATCGTACTTGTCAAAGGATTTATGGCAAGAGACTTGGGGTTTTACAACCGATTCCAAAGTGCTCCTCAATCCAAAGTTGTGGTCAGCTTGCTCTCCTGAGTTAATATAGTCTGCCCCAGAGGATTGATGTGAAGAAACATGTGAATCGTAGGAGTTGGAGTATTGAGAGCAGAAATAATTACCAACTTGACAATCATACTGCGGAAATCTCATGTATCTTTCTGTCGCATAAAAGGCCGAAGCCGGAGATTCAAACCGGCTCATTATGCTTTCGGGTGATCTTTCAAGACTAATATTCTGCTGTTGGCATCCTGCCTCCACAGCGGCCGGCTGCAAACGAGATGCCATGTTTCAAATCTGTTGGTTGCCGAGATATTGTGAGGATAGATGAGCAAACTCACTAATCACAAAGTTTCCTAACAAGATAGAGCAGAGACTGTTCCTGTTCAGGTTTCTTTGCAAGCATCAAAACGTGTATCAGGTTGAGTACTACTGTGAAGAATATAAAGACTACAAGCCACGCAAAGTACACGATAAATCTGGAAAAAGAAAGATGCAGATAAGTGGTACGATCCACTGCAAATTTGAATTCAAATGCATAATGCAAAAGAAATTCTCTTCTGATATTCTTCTTAAAAATTTCTTGCATAAGATATGAATATATAAATATATCTTCCAAGTACTGCGCATGCCTCTTTAGTTATTCCTAAAATGGATAGGGACGAAGGATGAATTTTGACATAACCAATGCACGACAGCAAACAGAACTCCTAGCAATAAACAAACAAGTTGATTCAGATTTGTCTTCTTATAAAACAAATGGTTACAAAAAGAATATCATGTCTCATTCAAGAAAATGGAAGTTCAGCAGTATAAAAATCAGAATAAAGAAGTCTTGATTTTTCTTTGGGATTTTTTTACGTACTGACATTAATATTTCCCTAGTGTTAAATATTATTGTTGGCGCACTAATAATGAAACAAAGAGTTTCTCAAGCTTACAACCCCATAATATCTTGTTTTGATATATTTTGAAATTTAATAATTCTTAAAATC